CGACCTGAAATGCATACCATGTAGGTACACATTCATGTTAACCCTATAATGCTCGCGTGTCAAGTGGGTTCTTACACGATGTATGGTACAGGGTTTTAGGGTTTTAGGGTTGAATGCAGCTATATCTGACGGCACAAGAACTTTGATACCGTTTGCACGGTGTCGTGACACTTGGAAATCAAATTAAGTGCATGTCCACACAACCACAAACGCAAACGTCTACAGTCACACACAACCCATCAACGTTTCGGGGATTACGGGATAGCCTGCATTTCGATCTTTACTCAATCCGTACGTTTACATGCCCATACAACTCTGTTCCTGTCTTCATACTTAAATACATGTATAAACACATGTACAAATACATGTACGAAGCCGCATGGCAGCTATTAATACATATATATATATATATATATATATATAACCGCATGTCAGCTAACATTATATGTATATAGCCCCAAAATATCTATACCCAAACGTTGTGTCTAATTATATCACTTGCCTGGGGACGTAACTATATTGAACTTCAAGCGAGTAATTGAACATAAAGTTAATTAAAAACCACGGAGAATGATTTATAAACGTTAAACGAAATTGTGTGTCTCAGGCGTTGGCGGAGGAGTTTGAGCGCAGCAAACTGACACGAGCTGACAAGTCTGCAGTACGCAAAGCATACAACTCAGGCGCACCTGCCCTTTTGGCCATATTGGAGAAGGTGAGTTTATCAATTTATGAGATATATATATATATATATATATATATATATATATATATATACTATATATATTATTATATATATATATATATATATATATATATATATATATATATATATATATATATATATATACAATTACATATATATATATATACAATATGTATATAATTTTTCTATATCAATACTCCTCGACACACATGCGTACATACTTACTACACATGAGTACATATATACATACATATATTTACAATAATATAATAATACATAATATATATTAAAGTAATAAGAATAAGAATAAGAATAAGAATAAGAATAAGAATAAAATAAGAATATATATATATGTATATGTGTGTGTGTGTGAATCAGTATACACTTCTCCACACACGCTTGTTTACATACATATACACACACGAACATCAATATATATCCATACATATATACATACTGCATCAAACGTGCTGAGATCACCCTCCACCAGCGTCATGTACGTGAACGAGCATGTATCACCTGTCCACAGACCCACACACGCGCATCCAAACAGCAGCTGCCGGTTAACTGAGGTCACTTCATAGCACACGCCCCCATTCTTGCACGGCTCTGTGACACATGGTGAACTCTGGTCCACTGGAGAGAAGTGTGTGTGTACGCGCGTGAGTGTTAGAGGTGACTTGGTGTGTAGATATAGTGTGTATGCGTATCGTGTTTTGTTATATGTGTGTAGGGGTTAATTTTTCTGAATAAGGGAGTGTGTGTGTGTGCGTGAGTGTTAGAGGTGATTTGGTGTGTAGATATGGTGTGTATGCGTATCGTGTTTTGTTATATATGTGTAGGGGTTAATTTTTCTGAATAAGGGTGTGTGTGTGAGTGTGTAATAATTGATTTATCGCGTGTATGTGGATGCGTATGTTATATTAAGTTGTGTATATATGTGTGTATGGGGCAATTTGACATTGTCTGAGTACAGAAGATCATATACTTCATAGCACTCCCCTCCTTTGTTGCACGGCCGTGTGGCTATGCTATTCAATTGTGTGTATGTGCAAGTGTTGTATATGTACTTTCAATTGAGTAGAGCTATGTAAGTGTGGGAAGCTTGAATTCTGTTAATGTAGGAAGTTTGATTATGTTTGTGTAGGTATGGATAGTAGAAGTTACTTGTGTGTGTGTGAATGTGTCGAACAAGGATATCTGAGATATAATCTGTAAGTATGTGTAGGTATGTATATCCGAGCTACGTATTCCTGACAAGTAAGCGCTCAAGTGCCTGTGTTACAAGACAGTACCAATCCGAGTAGAAGTATAAACACTATTAAGGCAATTGGACCCAAATTGCCACAACAAGACACCACCACGATAGGGACGTTTACGAGTCCGGATTAAAAATATCTATAATTTAGGTTAAAGATTAGAGCATAGAGTTTAGGAGTTCAGAGGTAGCTTGTCGATCTACATTCAACACATACACACCATGTAAATGTATCAAAGGTAGATCCCATATATTTATATACATACATACATTCATACAAACATATATATATATATATATATATATATATATATATATATATATATATATATAATAATAATATATAATAATAATAATAATAATAATAACAATAATATATATATATATATATGGAGATATAAACATACAGACATATTTATAAATACATATATACATATATTTATATATATGTCTATATACCTATAGACATATATATATATATATACATATACACGTATATATACATATATACATATACACATACATACATATATATACACATACCTGTATATATACATATATATATATATATATATATACATAAAATCAGGTGAAACAAACGATTCTATTCAGGTTAATATAGAAATGTATGAGATTACGTACCTGCTTCTGCGCAGGTGTTGCCCGACCAATTTGTGCCGCAGTCGCACGTGAAAGTTGTGTCGGTTGTGGTGCATGTGCCTGTGTGATATGCACATGTCAATCATGATATACACGTGCCATAGTAACGGTGTCAGTGTTAAGGGTGGTAAGGATCTTGGGGTTGGGTTATAGGCAATTCGGTTTGCGGAGAATATAGGTGCATGGGAGTTGGGTTACAAGAAATTTGGGATGAAAGGATCTTGGTATGTATGAGCTTCGAATTGTATGAAATTGGAGTTTTCAGGTAATCTGCGCTGTCGAGGATCTTCGCTGAGCAATGTCCGGATTGAAAAAAAAGGTTTGTACATAATTTAGCCTGTAGTATCTTTGGGTCGAACTGAATTTTTGAGTTGTAAAGAATTCGGGTCGCAGATGAAAATTAGAGGAAAAGGAAAGTGTTTCATGTGGTAGAGATGAGGTTCAGGACGATTTGCAAAAACAAACTTTTATAGGCCACTGACAACAAGTATATATACCTACCAATGGAACTATACGTATGAATGTGGTCATCCTGCAGCCTACATACGGCAGCGCTCAAACCACACACCTTATATTCATATCAACCTACATAAGTCTAGAGAATCGCTGGTAATGATATATACAGCGACTAAATAACAATAAACTAAATGCATGCCGTACCCATAGATTACATACCCACCAATGCATCCTTACGTATGCATGCGGTCATACTGCATACACATACCCGCTTGAATCACACATCTCATATTAATGCCTGCGGACTGAATTAGAGAGTTTTACACTGGCATTGATATAAATATCGACTACATAAAAAGTATCCCTCCACTTGGAACTCGCACGTGTACGCTGTGCTATTAATAGAGCTACTCACGAAGGTGCTCCATGAGCATACATATACTTAGTTACTACACCTTTACCTACCGTTATTAACGCATGGTGAGCTCTGACAATAATCCATTGATTCGCAGTTGGTACCCACGTATCCCTCCGGGCACTCGCACGTGTACGCTGTGCTATTAATAGAACTACTCTGGCACGTGCCTCCATTCAAGCAGGGTGCTGCGCTACAGGCGTCAATTGGGGTTGGCACCTGGCAATTGACCCCCTCATAACCCTCTAAGCAGGTGCACTGGTACATACCTAGCATGGGTGTCAGTGTGAAGATATTGGGATACAAGACTTTAGATTCATAGATTTATAAGAGTGTGTGTACTGGCAAATGTGAACTGGTGGTGATCTTTTGGCAAACAGTTCACTGGACGACAAGTAGCGAGTGAGGTGTGAGTGAAAGTAGTGGATAGCACAGATTCCTCGCAAATTGCGATGATACTTCCATATTTGGGTGAGCAGGTACGACCACTTAAGTAAGGACAAAGGGCATTTGTTCACCGATTAATGGCCAAACTTTAGGAATATTCC